CCCGTTATTAGCAGACCTTTTTTGTATTCATATGAAGCAGAATTTGTCCAAAATCTTATACGTGAAAAGAAGAAAACACTTGCTATGGCCTTCAACTCGACATTTATATATATATATCGACGGCGTATTGTCAATTTCCATTCTTATGTCGATACGATATATCCCGGTGAGCTTGAGATAAAAGATACAACAGAGTCTGACAAATCTGTTCCATATTTGGATAATTTACTTGAAAAAGTCGTTAATGGTTATCTAACAATCAAGCTTTATGATAAACGTGATGACTTTAACTTTTCAATCGTCAACTTCCCTTACTTATGCAGCAATATACCTTCATCACCTGCATACGGGGTTTATATCTCTCAGTTGATTCGATACGCAAGAGCATGATCTACGTATGTTCAATTTCTAAAACAAGGTAAACTATTGACAAACAAGTTGATGAAACAAGAATATCGGCAGTCTCGTTTAAAGTCATCATTTCGTAAGTTCTATGGTCGATACAATAACCTTGCAAATACAATTTATCATTGAGTCAAATGCTGACTGACGTTTTTCATACTAATTGTTAGGCCATTATTTACACACTGAATTGTCGACGGATTTTTCCGTTATTTCCCGATCATGAGAAGGAGCACACGGCGGGTGTGACCGGTCAGCAGGGGATGCTCACCCCTCCATGGCACCTGATCCCACCTCTGATGTTTTGGAGGTCCGTGTTTGCTCTGCTCCTATTTTGTATTGTTTAATGGACTTTTGAGCTTGAATACTGTTCGTTATCTCCATATATTTCACTAATGATATTAAAAATCAATTTTTTTACTTAAGTCTTTTCTAAGTTTATAGTCTTGGGGTCTGATCTTACCTCTGGACAGTCTGTTTCCAGGGGTCCGTGTTTTTTTCATGTTCACGATTCGTTTTGTTTACTGGATTTGTGAGATTGATCGCTGTTCGTTATATCTTCACATTTTACATTCATGCAAGGCGACACGAAATAATGGCGAAAGGCTTCAAATTTAGACCTTGTCTCGGCACTCCATTGTGCAGTGATGGTTCTTAAATTGTCGTGCTAATGCCTACCATTACACTGGACCTATCTTTTTAAGGTCATATCCGAAAGACTGTGACTTTCACTCCTAACACTAGGCGAATGCATATGACAGATCTAGAACAGTCACCACTAACTTGAAATGTCTTTGACTTAGGTTTGACGCGGCGCCGGGTGCGACAAATGAACCAGGAACTACCGAAGACGAAGAATGTCCTACTACTAGGCTACCGCAGCCGTTCAAGAAAAACTGGAAGTTCATACTTCAAACAATGATTAAATATAACCCAAGGATGTGCCTCGATGTTTCAAAATATATGTCACACATCTAAAGGCAGAAAGAAAAAATACAACAAAAGCTACATATGCAATTTATATATCATTTTAATCCAACATTCTCCTTTTCAGTTTCTATGTCAACGATTTCCTAAAATATTATACTCAAAGTGTTTTCCTTACCATTGTCCTAAATAACTTAAGAGACTCGTGTTCAAAAATTTCTGACCACTGCTTTGTAAGTTTCACAGGACACTTGACAGATTTCTTGTTTTATATCTAGCTTTTTCAGAACTCCCAAAACTGCAAATTTATTTATTTATTTATTTTTTTATTATTTAAAGATGCATTTAAATAAATGTGTCATTTCAGAACTACCGGAATGTGCGGACGTCCACTTTTTTCGCTCTTCCTTTCAATCAGTCTTGCCCGCCGATATATGGCTGAAATATTGCCGACTCGGCGTTAAACAATATCAATCAATCAATCAGTCTTACAAACTTCAACCGAATCTGAAAGTCAGTTGGCTTCAAATGCTGCAATGCTGAAATCTTCTATGCAGACACACTCAATTCAAATCGAAGATTTCTAAATACACTTGATACAATTATATTGTCACAATCCATTTCCCTAAACTCGAGCTAATTGGCTTTCTTGATGATTGACATCACTTTGACAATGTTCTCATTTTTCTTGATTTTTTTTTTTGGGGGGGGGGGGGGGCGGAAGGCCAGGATTTAACTGTCTTTCAACTTTACATTATATTTCGTTCAAACTTCTTAATTATCCTTAATAAATAAAAACTAGACGGTGCTTTTTGGTCTGAATAATTTTCTTCATCACACCCTTTACAATATTTAGGATATCGTTCTTATAATTAAAATTAAATAATTCAAATTAAAATTTTTGTTTGTTGTTAGTTGTACTCCATTTTGAGGACAGCTTAAATTATGACATCACTGAATACATCATCAATGACTTCATGGTATTATAATTTTCCTGATATTTTGCAATATCATAATTTTAGATTAATATGATCGTCTATGGTGTTATGGTATTTTTGGTATCATGCTTGATATTCAGGTTACGCCCATTTAGATGTGTGACATGTATTATGAAACACCCTGTACTTGACATAAAAGATTTCTTATGATGAGTGTGTCTTGACCCAAGGTCATTTCGGCAAATTCAAGGTCATCGGCAGAAAAAGTAATATCTGATCATTAACTCTCTAATAGAGATATAGTGGCTGATGATACTCGATACAAAGAGTACAAATGACCTGAGGTGTTTCAAGATATTATCCCATGGTCATTTGGGCAAGTTCAAGGTCACTGACAGAAAAATGTAAAGTTTGTCTGGTCTAAAACTTTTTAATGAGGAAGTTCACATTTCACACAAAAATTACTTGTGATCCAAGATCATTTGTTCAAGATCAACTTCAAGGCCACTTGCAGAGTAATGTACAATTCCTGCCTGGTTTATAACTCTCTAATAGATAAATATTGATCTTTCATAGGTACAGTACCAACCAGACCCAACCTGACACAAAGCAGTCCCAGAGCAGTCCCGGGGACTGCTTTCTGGGACTGCTAAAGCAGTCCCATAGCGGTCCAAGAGCAGTCCCAGCAGTCCCAGAAAGCAGTCCCAGCAGTCCAAGTGGGCGGGTTTAATTAATTTAATGGGCGGAGCTTACTCAGAATGAGATTACCAATAAACAATGTAAGTATAAGGCAGTTGAAATTGATGATCATTTCTTTCTGAGTAGTATCAACAACTATCTACAATTCTTACGCGACAGTCATTTCTGAACTGTTAAGAAAATCACAGTACGCGTGTAGAAACAAATAATAATTATTGAATGAAGAAGATGTTTACACCTATTAAAACATGAATATTTAAACACAATTATTTGGTATATTTATTTTCACCAAAATAAATCAGTTTCTTTTTTTCTGTGATTGAAATTGGTTTTCATATTTATTTTTTATGCAGAAAATTAAACTTGAATTATTCATTTTCTACCAGAATTAGCTTTAAATAGATCTTATAATTATAGAGCAAGGCCATACTATACTCTGAATGCATTTTTCTTAAGTATTGGAGCTTTTGAAAAATTATTTGTTAAATATTGCCGAGTATGATATTTCAGTCATGATTTTTTTTCAATGACTTGCCACTTTAATTATCGTTAGATTCTCGGTTTACATGTAAGTGTTTTATTATATAAATGTTTGAGTGTACATCTGTAAATCACGCAAATGGAACCCTCTGATTATGTTCAAAATTAATTAATCCCGAAATAAATTTATACACAATTATTGAAACAAAGAATGTTTTGCAGTACATAGATTGAAATTAGTTTCATTGTTGACCAGCGTGTTCAGTGATGTGCAACATTGATACCCAAATAACACGCATTGACTTTCTGCTAATTATGGCCAAAGGCGATTGAAACCTCAGGTGTTGACACCATTTTATACAATTGTATTGCTTTTTATTAATCGGCCAGGTAAACACAAACAAAACAAAATAAGAAATAAGTCACAATTCCCGAGATTTTCAAATGTTTATTTTCTAAATATATGTAAATGTACAGTACACTTTTAATAACTTGTTTATATATTAAAAACTAATTCATGAATAAATCCCCCAATTATTGTTCACATTGATTATGTGACAGAAGAATGGTAGAATAATTTTGTTTTATGGTCATTTTATAAATTAATAGGTCTTATTTGAGGCCGGTAAAAAAATAGCATGGAGTGCTCTTTTTTAAGCATAGTATTAGCTTTTTCAATTAAGAGAAAAATCCAGCGCAGTACGTCCCTCTGAATATCTTACTGAAATGACAAGTTTGTTTGTTTTTTTAATAGTGCTAATGCAAACTTTGAATACATAATTTGACAGCATTAGTTTACTAAATAGGCCTAGATATTTTTTTCATTCAAACACCCGTATTGAAGTTTAATTTAAGGGATAAAAATCATTCCCTGACTTCCCTTTTTAACTACTTTCATTTGTAAAAATTAATTCTAGACTACAACTGTGTAAATTTACAGCCCCTAAAGACATTTAGTAATTACATGTATAACTATCTCTACTTACTTCACTTTTGTTAGAAATACTTCTTTTTTTATTATTATTTTTTTATCTTAAACACCTCTCTGCAGAAAGTAAACAAAACAACAACAGGGAGCTGCAAATTCAGAATACACAAGGGGCGGAGCTATCATGTCACTCAGAACCTTTTTCACGCATGAGTGAACAAAGCAGTCCCAGGGACTGCTGGGTCTGCTTTCTAGAGCAGTCCCAGAGCAGTCCCGGGGACTGCTTTCTGGGACTGCTTAGGTGTCAGGTTGGGTCTGGTTGGTACTTTAAGTGTGTAAAAAAAAAAGAAGACATTTTTAAAAATGACCTCATCCTTAAGTCGGATAACTGATACATGGATTACGACTAATTCCTGACAGTAGTTTCTACTCTCCAAATAGAAATATTTATATTTATTAACTTTGAAATAATATTAATCAATTATTCTGCTAAAGTATCATTTGCCATGTTGTACCTAAGAAAGGACCTTCTTTAAATGAACAATAATGAGAAAAAAAGATCAATTTACCCAAAGTAATCCGACATATCATTGATCTCTTTAGAAAAAACATAACACCTTATAATGTTCAAAAATATTAATTTTATTCGTTTTTCTACACACATAAAATAATCTCCAAGGATCTCTGATGGTCTCTTTCACCCAAAACTCTGACAAAAGTAAAGTAAAATTTATTAAAACTGGACTAAATATCAATCTTCTTAATTGGCCTACTTACAGCACCCCTAATTTGATGATTCTCAGGATCAAAACTCAGGCTTGATCTTCAGTTCTAAAAATACACAAATACCAAATGATAATTTGAAGGAAATAAAAACTATATACTAGAGGTTTCAGGTCTATCTCTCTTCCTAATTTGTTGATACATCCCTGCTGACATCAATTTGTGACTGATAGCAAAGGCAGCTCAAACTTGAATCAAGATATATGACATGCAAATTCAGTAAATCTAAGATCATGGCTTAATGGAATCTTTTTGTGACAGGATATTTCAGTAGCTCCTACATTTCATATGTGTAAGATACAGCTGAACTTTGGTATCTCGAACACAGATATGGATACCGGTACGACAATGTTATATGTTATATATATGTTGAAGTGATTTAGAAGTCCCAAGCACTTTTTCCTTAAGTATTTTACCCACAGCATCTCAAACCCTTTGAATATCTCAAAGTTTTTTCTCGGTCCCATTGAGTTTAAGATAATGAGGTTTGACTATTCTTAGACATAAGAGGATATATAAAAGAGTGTTAGCAGATTAGAAACCTTTATTTGAAATGCTTTTGGCTGATTCTGACTTTTTTTGACATTGCTTCAAAACTAATACAGATGTTTAAGAGCAGTATGGGAAAAATATTTTCCATTATTGATAATAGAAAGGGAAAAAAAACACTATGGACTAGACCAGGATTCAAATCTAAGCTATCCTTTACTTGAGACATGTGCTCTACAGAGCTATCTGGCCACCTGCAAATGATCCTGTCTGATTGTCACAATAGCTTCATGATCATTCTTTCAAGTGAAGATTAATTGCATGATTTTAAACAAAGGTCAAGTTAATTACAGAGAATAGGAATAAAAGATTAATATTTTCTGTTAACTTTTTTTTCAAATTCATGTATCATTCTGCATTTCCTGTAATACTTTGTACTAATCAATATAAAACTGCCAGTCTTTGATTCAAATAATAGGCACTGGTGTATTTAGTTTTTAAATAGCTTTGAAACCAGTAAACAAAACTATTAAAAAATTGCTAAGTCAGAAGTTATAGTTTTTAAAATTATCAGTGTATTAATTCCATATGACTTGTCAGCTCAGCTCAGCTACAAATGTTTAGGTTTAGAAGCTGACATTTTGCACACTGAGCATACTTGAAGGTAAATTTTGAAGCAAGAATAAAGCGCACTGCCACAGGACATGATATGCCCATCAGATATTTTAAATATTTATCATAAACAGATAAGTGTGCATGGCAGAAAGTCATGTAAACCTTGTACAAAGAAATTCAATAATTTCTCCATTTTTAATGTTTGATGTGCATCTCCTAAGCTGTAGTTATAAATAAGAAATAATAATACAATTTCTCAATTGTCATTGCACAAATGCCCAATCTGCAAATTTGTTCATTGAATTGTTTACAAAAGATAAACAATGCCACTGCCTAATAAAAAACATCAAGATACTTATCATTATGTTTATAACTTTTGCATCCATCTGTCATTTCAGTAAGACATGATACTAAGCAATCTGGTTGTTCAAGTTCATTCATTATGCTCACACCAACAATCAGTGGTTCATGAGGTATAGTGTATAAAATGTCCTCATTGTTCAATTATGAGAGGAAAATTAAATACATGATACCACATATGAGTAAGAGATGTATACATGTGTACAAAATATAGCAAGAAACACGGAATAATTTAGGAGATCATCTAAAAAAATCATTAGAAAAATAAGCTACATCTTCCTTGTTATCTTTATTACCTGGATCAACTAGCAAATTTGAATGAAGAATATCTTGAAAAATTATCAATGGGTAAGATACGGTTCTTGCAAGGTACCTTGCTTATGCAATTTTTCAAGATATTCTCCATTCAAATTTGCTAGTTGATCCAGGTAATAAAGATCGACTCATGTGATGTTTAAAAAAAGAAGATTAACGGTAATCATTTCCGGAATAACAGCTGAATAAGGAGCGTGATTATGATTACGCCCATGACAAAAGATCTTCGTGGCAATACTTTTAAAACAGAGAAAGAATAAGATAAAGATGTGATTTTGCAGAGTGCTGGTGAGCGTCGACGCAGATTTTTTTTTTTATCCCTGTGGTTTTTTTTTTCTTTCGACACGTCTACCTTTTGCCGTAGTTCTGAACACTGAAATCTATTTCATGAATAAATTTAATTCATGTCTGGCTCTTTATGTCCTCTAGTTTTATTTAAAATATTAGAATTTTATTTGAGATCGGTTTCTTTACTATAGGATCTACATCTATGAATAGATATTCATTTCCTAGAAGCTTCAGACAGCGTGATTTTCTAAGTGATAATGATGAATATAGGCCTATATGGATGAACAGATAAACGTATGCGATTTTCATATATACGTGCATAGACCAGTTTGAGGTCGCATGCTTGACATGAACGTATTTTTAAAAATATCGCAGAGGAAATTGTTTTCCTCAGTAAGATCTTCTCTAGCATTTTCAACTCTTACATCGACCATGTAAACAATGAATCGTCGGCACAGATATTGCGGAAGCATTTGTTGTGGTAAAATGTTTTATGCGTCGTATTTGGTAAAAAATTGAAACTTAACACACTTCTTCTGACAGAAAAGAAAAGTTTCTTTACAAATCTAGCAAAAAATACGCGTGTAAGAATAACAGACGAAACTCAGAGAAGTTAATTCTAACAAACGAGGTACTACGGAGGTACCAGGTATACCAGAGAGAAAAAAATTATTTTGAGCACATAACGTTACATTAAAAAAAAAATTTCAACTCATCATGCTCACGGGAATATATTTGAAAAATGAATTTAATTTTTTTAAAATTCAGGAGGACATGAACAAAGACGCTTCACCTCAGCATATTTCATGAACTGTGTGAGGTAGCGCTTTATAAATGTCATTCAACGCGATTTTCAGCAACAAACCATCAGATTAAAATTTATGAAATCTTTTAATATTTTAGGAAGGGGGGGGGGGTATTGAAATGCATGTAGCGTAAAAAAGAATGTGATGACCCCACTTCATATTTTAACCATAAGTCACTTATAATAATTGTTACAAAATACATTAATTTTAGGAAAATTCATTGGGCAATTTTTTTCAAGACGTTGAAAACTGCTCTTGGGGCGAAAATATTACTGCAAATTTACAATGACTACTCCCCAAAGCAACTGTGGCATTACTACATCTATGTATAGTTTCCGATACAATTTTTATTTTCAATGAATATAAAGCATATTATTTAATATCTGGTGAGAATTATTTAATTTGTTTCAATTTTGATACCTGTATGGCATACTTAAAATTCCACTACATAAATATCAAAATATTGAAAAACGGTGGTTACCATGGCAACCATATCTTTCTTATAACCCTGATGACCTTGGTTGACATTTTCATATTATGATACCATTAACGTAAGGCAAATTATATGTAAAAATGAGAAAAATTCATAGAGCGGATTTTTTTCATGGACCCTTGCAATCTCTTCCTTAATTAAAGGCATAGTGGCCTAACTTTTAAGCACTGCACGCCTTCTACCTGAGATGCATCAGCTGACAAAGTTTAATGATTCTAGGCCTCATCGTATTAAAGTTTTTAGCTGGGCATGAAAAAGCTGACAGACAGACAGATGGACGGATATGATCACCATACCATAATACACCCTGTCATACATGGGCGTACATAAAGGGTTGCATACATTTGTGTATGAAGTCATGGATACCGTTAACTTGAAATGAAAGAAAAAGTGAGCAAGCTCACATACCCCACGCTCCCCCAAAACTCGACAATGCAACATGTAATAAATGGCACTGTGTATTTTAAATACACAGTATAATTCAAAAAGGGGCACTACTTGCAAAAAATCATTACATCAAAACTTCTTGCATATAAGGACATTCAAATCTTTGTATGTTACAAATTTAATTGGGTTGAAGTTTCTAGATAAATAATGGAATCAAAATTTCTTGGTTATATACAAATCTATACATTATGTCTGAAATACCTACAAAGTTTCAGGAAATTCAGTGCAGGAGTTATGCTGACAAACTTTATTTAAATTCCTCAGTGATTTTGATTTGTTAATGAGTGTAAGTCCATGTCCAACACATGACAATTTACCCATTTAAATAATTGATGGAAACAAAATTATGATGTAGTCATATGAATTTGTTTATATACTGTACTTATGAAATTATTTAAGACAAAGCACCAATTTAAGGGGATGGGGTGGGGTGAGAACTATCCAAGATTTTGTGTGTGTGTGTGTGTGTGAGGGTGTGTGTGTGTGTGTTAAATCATTAATATTTTGATCTCAAAATCAATAGGGGTCTTTTAAGGTCATAAAATATTTCACATAAATTTCATTACAAAAGCTGATTCCAGTGGATTTCCTTATTACTAGCTGGAAAGTTTCTTCAATAATAGGCAAAACTGTTAAGGTAAAAATAATTGAATCAGAAATTCCTGGTAATATGCACATCTACATACTGTGTCCTAAATATCTGCAAAGTTTAACCAAATTCTGTGCAGTGGTTTAAGAGGAGTTGCACTAACAAACTGTTCATCTCTATATTCAAGATATGGCCAAAAATCTAAGTTCAAAAGTGCCAAAAGAGCCATAGCTGCCTTACCGACGACATGGCCGACTCAAGAATTTAAAAGGAAATTACCTGTTTCTATTTATAGATATACTGTACCTTTTCAATTCATGAGCAAACTATGTAATATGATTTGAGGACGAGTGTTATATTTTCATAGTTGCAAGTATGTCAAATGACAATCATTTTACTTGTTCAATACTCTAATTCTGAGACAAAAGATTTATGCAGAAAATCAATAACAATAAGTTGCTATGAATTTGCAAAGAGTTGACTGTCTTTTTCCAAGATACTTGCAAAGTGTAATTTGTATATTATAAGTTACTGAAATTGTGTATATTATAAAACATAATTAAGAAAAACATAGAAAAGATACACAAAGAAAAAAAATTAAAAAAAAACATGAATGGAAAAATGTGGGGCTCGAACTAGCAATCACCATATTTACATTCCAGCAATCATACCGCTGTGCCAACAAAGTCAATGATGTCAAGTTGATAAATTTAAGACAAATTGCTAAATCTTACGATTATATGAGAAGAAAAATTTAATATACATTTTCATCATTTTCAACATGAAGACCACCTTTAATCAAAATTATCTAAAGGGAATGAAGTGCAGACATATCCAAATAAAATTATTCAAAAGTTGTTTTTCTGGTTAAGGGTGGTCTTTGGCAACAGTTTGTCATCGTTAGGTGGATACCTCAATATTTACTATATATTCTATACAAACTGGATAATTTTCAAATTTATCATATGAGGGAACTATTAACATTTCAATATCATTATTGTGTGATTTGGTCTAAAGCAGGTATAAACTAAGACTGTATGACAAAATTTTGGTTAAAAAATGTATTTAAGAAATCACTAGTAGAGTAGGCGAAAATGCCAATCAAATGCGCTATGGCTCTTCCCAGAAAAATAAAGGAATCAGAATTTCCTGGTAATATGCACATCTACACATTGTGTCCTAAATATCTGCATAGTTTGATGAAATTCTGTGAAGCGGTTTATGAGAAGTTGTGCTGACAAACTGTTCATCTCTATATTCAAAATATGGCCAAAAATCTAAGTTAAAAAATGCTGAAATTCCCAGAAAAAATAAAGGAATCAGAATTTCCTGGTAATATGCACATCTACACATTGTATGCTAAATATCTGCAAAGTTTGACGAAATTCTGTGCAGCAGTTTAAGAGGAGTTGCGCTGACAAACTGTTCATCTCTATATTGAAGATATGGCCGAAAATCTAAGTTCAAAAGTGCTGAAATTCCCAGAAAAAATAAAGGAATCGGAATTTCCTGGTAATATGCACATCTACACATTGTGTCCTAAATATCTGCAAAGTTTGACGAAATTCTGTGCAGCGGTTTATGAGGAGTTGTGCTGACAAACATTTCATCTCTATATTCAAGATATGGCCAAAAATCTAAGTTCAAAAATGCCGAAATTCCCAGAAAAAATAAAGGAATCGGAATTTCCTGGTAATATGCACACATTGTGTCCTAAATATCTGCAAAGTTTGACGAAATTCTGTGCAGCAGTTTAAGAGGAGTTGCGCTGACAAACTTTTCATCTCTATATTCAAGATATGGCCAAAAATCTAAGTTCAAAAGTGCCGAAATTCCCAGAAAAAATAAAGGAATCGGAATTTCCTGGTAATATGCACACATTGTGTCCTAAATATCTGCAAAGTTTGACGAAATTCTGTGAAGCGGTTTATGAGGAGTTGCGCTGACAAACTTTTCATCTCTATATTCAAGATATGGCCAAAAATCTAAGTTCAAAAGTGCCGAAATTCCCAGAAAAAATAAAGGAATCGGAATTTCCTGGTAATATGCACATCTACACATTGTGTCCTAAATATCTGCAAAGTTTGACGAAATTCTGTGAAGCGGTTTATGAGGAGTTGCGCTGACAAACCGTTCATCTCTACATTCAAGATATGGCCAAAAATCTATATTCAAAAGTGCCGAAATTCCCAGAAAAAATAAAGGAATCGGAATTTCCTGGTAATATGCACATCTACACATTGTGTCCTAAATATCTGCAAAGTTTGACGAAATTCTGTGAAGCGGTTTATGAGGAGTTGCGCTGACAAACCGTTCATCTCTACATTCAAGATATGGCCAAAAATCTATATTCAAAAGTGCCGAAATTCCCAGAAAAAATAAAGGAATCGGAATTTCCTGGTAATATGCACATCTACACATTGTTAGCTAAATATCTGCAAAGTTTGATGAAATTCTGTGCAGCGGTTTATGAGGAGTTGCGCTGACAAAAAGAACAGGACTGACGGACTGACTGACTGACACACTGACTGACACACTGACTGACGGATGGGTCAAAAACATTATACCTCACACAACTTGTTGCGTGGGGTATAATTACCCCTGATTGAGATACATGTATATAATTTACTTTTGTTTTGTCCTGATGTTTCCACTGGTGGTAGGGTATCTACCTTCTGACCCCCACTTGTCTTGTTTATAGAGATGTATGCTGGTAGTTTTCTCTGCTTTAGTGGGATGTTTTCAGAAGTTTCATCTAAATCATCAGGTAACTTCTCTAAGGCTGCATTTCTGAAAAATATGCCAGTCCAACACGTTTATTCAAGAACTCCTAATTTAATAATCATGACGGAATTTGTCAAGCTTTACCTAAAACAAAAGTACCAGATATTTTAAACAATGAACACAACTACAAGATGTTACATCTAATGTATAGACCTTTCCAACATACATGTACATGTAGTTTTATGCTTACATTAGATATTTATAAATGTTTTTGATTGAGAGGTTTGATTTGATAAATTTAATAATTCTGTAAAAAAAGGTAATGTACGAGGGGTTATCAAAAAGTTCGTGGACTAGCGCTATAAAAATAAAACCGCTATATGTACATCAATGAATTTTTAGATATTTAATAAGCATCATCCTTTCTATCTGTAGAATAAACTATAAATCATGTTTTATTTTTTAGTGAATCGTAAATGTTTTGTAAGCAATGGTATGTCCAGGCGGTGCAACCTCGAAAAGAACGTATTTTCTACCTGAGTGTAACTGAGAAAAACTTTTCTTATATGAGCATTTGTCATCCAACACTCCCATTAATTCACTCATGTGATATGACACAATTTTTTCGTAAAAGTTGCAAGTTTTACCTCATTCTATACATTCAATGATATTTTATCGTAAATTTTATTTTAAATGTCCAAACAATAAAGGGGTTAAAAATGACGTCGAAAGGGGTTTGGGTGTCATTTTAAAACATCCTATAAGTTTCAGCCCCTTAACAACCTGGCATAGCCTTAGAAAATGTTTAAACAGGCTACAGAGAAATAAAATTCATCCAAAGTACTTGTTTTTAAATACCAAAAGAGATTCAGCAAGAAAAGAGACACATGGTTAATATCGATTTGTAGTCAAGGTGTCCAAAATCAGTCACGTCGAAAAGTGACATTGATCATTGGTTGACACTGAAATCCGAAAAGAAAATTATGTGGCAAAATCAAGCGAGGATCTTTTCCTATGTATAGCTTTAATATTTACAATATTAATGCATTAAAACTAGGAGTTCATGACATTGTAAAGTCATATAAACAAGACAGATTTAGGTCTTTACTTTACTCCAGAGAATCTCACCGAGATAAGTGTATTGAGGCAGAAGGAGCGTGCATTGAGAAATAATGACGTTGTCGGACGTCACGAAACAAAATGGCGACAGCACCAGGTGATCATATAATGCCCTTTTTATTTAATGATAATTTGGAAAATAATCAACATATCAAGCTGAAATTTTCAACACTTCTTCAAATTTTGTTGTTTTATGTTCCCAATGAATTTTGTAATCAACGATTACATAGTATTAATTTAATCACATCAGTCCACAAACTTTTTGATAACCCCTCATATTTGTGAAGTGTGAACCAACTCTTCTTCGCAATTTACCTCACAATTTAAAAAAAAAAAAGAACCTTAAACATTAATGGGACAACAATACAAACCATCATAAGTGATACATGTAGATCTTAAAGAATAATAGTAATCAACAGTTAGAAACAAGAGTTACATGTGAGACATATATTAAAATGTATAATTTAGATCAAATGCCTAAAAACATCAATAGCACTGTATGAGTACATGCATACCTCTTCACTGAACACAGTTATTACAATTGTTAAAAGTTCAATTTGTACAAATGTTTATATACTTAGTGTTGGTTTCTGATGACTTTCTTTTCCTAGTTTTCTGTTTATGATGTTTAAGCCTGCATTTGTCTCCATCAGGACATGATCCACTTGCAGCAAATGATTGGCAGGTTAGTGTATGTCTCTTCTTGCACTAAAAAAAGCATTTCCCAAACACATACAGCACACAGGTTTTGTAATTGTTCATTGGCATTAAATATTATTTTCACATCTACTTGAATGGAAAAACCAGTATAGCCTCATTTGTTTGGAAATCTATCAAGCTGTTTGATATAATTAAGATAGCACCTTTCGCTACACAAAACTTACCTTTGCCCCTTTAGAACAAAATCCCTGTAGAAAATCCTGACACACCTCAGCATTCTTGTTGACCTTGACATGGAGGTATGGACAGTTATCTCTACTGCAGACCCCTCGTAAGAAGTAGGAGCACACTGGCATTTTGTCTTTGTCAACTTTATGAGAGAAAGGACAGTCAACAATATTGCACGTCCCTCGCAGGAATCTGCATAAAAAATCAAATCAAATCAAATCAGAGAAATGAATAATAATGTTACATGTCAACACCCACAAGGAAATCTTTTCATCTGTTTTTTGATTGATATAATTCATATAAGTTGAAAAGTTGACTCATTTTAGAAAGAAAAGTCACAAAAGTGCAAGTTTTTCTAGACATATAAGTACACAAGTTTAAAATAGCTCCAGACAGCTAAAAACTGACAGGTTATCGATGTAATTTATTACAGTATAATACTGGTACCGGTTATAATGATATTTATTTTGCATCACCTGGTGAAAAATAATGTATTCTTGTAAATGTGTGAAGAAGCAATGTAAACAATGAAGAGGCCATGGACCTTGACAGTATCAGACTATGGCCAACTCATCCCCAATTTGGGGCCTGGATTCAGGACCCTGGAGTCACAAAGAGCTACATGTAGGTTCACTTTATGCATAAAATGGCCCTGTCCTTATATCAATTAATTGACTATCACCCTCTATCCCATTTCATATATCAAAATAAAGTAGAGACTTAGTGCTTTCATTTCCTTTAACAAAATTTCTTTTGGAGAATCCAGGTATTGGAAAACAGGCTTTGAGAAAATGCAATGTTCTTTAATTTCGCAGAAAATGTGTGTATTTGACTACCATCAGCAAAGAATTAAAATATGAGCACAGCCCACGATCCAAAAATTAAAGCATGTTTTGTGATCTTCAGAAACAGATCTTTCATTATGTAATTGCATATTTTGGATCAGAGGTTGTGCTCTATATGTAATATTGAAAAAATACCTCAACTTTTGGCCATTTTTAAGGGAATTTACAGGATATAGGAAAAATGACGCATTTTATGACGTCATAATGCATTGACTAGAGAAAAAATTACGTCATGTTCAATAGATACACAGTCACCAAGGGTCCAAGTTATAAACACTGCATTTTCAACCAAAACTGAACAGTTTCGATTTTTCAGACATTCTCAGGGCCAAAAAAGGCCCTAAGTGGCTCTTGCTCTTTCAAAATTTTGCTAGAAAACTAGCTCTCATTAGAGTTATGTACAAAACAATTTGCCTGCTAGATGACAATAATAAGAAATAGATAATCAACTTAGCCCCACCATGGGCCTCAACCACAAACCAAAGGGACATGAATTTGACAATATTGTCTGAGGGCTTAAGGTTTGCCTGCTGTGTCCAGGCTTATACAGGAAATTGTTTTGAAGACTGTATGATCCTGTTTATGGTCTCAGGTCCTGAGAGGGCTATGGTCATGACATTTCTCTTTTCTACTCCCCCTCATCTAGATCTATAGATACTATATATGAAAATTATTTAAAATTGATTGAGCCATTTTTTTTTCTAGAAAAGAGGCTGAAAGTGTTCAAAAGTTTCAAGCAATGCACAACAATACACTAGAATGGATAGCAATAGGACTTGAGTGGTTAAGGTGATCTAAAAAAATCAATTTGGAATGCATTGCTCAACATTTATTTTTTCACAGACCTGTTCATTTTTCCCCCAGTGTAAAAGATACATGAATAAGCTACATGTACAAATAGCACTACTGATCTCACCTTGTACATACAGCCACTTTTTCTGGGTCATGGATGTACTTGCACTTATCCCCATGATTGCACTTCCCGAATCGGTTGTAAAACATACAATATTGCTCAGTCTTCTTTTTCTTGAATTTGGTTGCAGCTGTTTGAATGCTCTTTTGTAAGACTCGACTACATAAAAAATTAAAAATATTTTTCACAGACTACATGCACCGAGGATCTATGAAAAGAAATTATATGAAAATTTATGCACATGTACAATACACTACCATGTATTTTTATAACCAGTATCAAATTACACCAATGTAACATTTCTACAGTTATCTGGCATGTTACACTTCACACATAAATTTCTGATCTTAGTAAAACAGTTAGATGGCTAGGATATTCTCATCAAGCACACCTGACCTATACATAATTACTACATGTATTAAACTGCCTAAATCAAGTCACTCTTCAGTTTCATCACACATAACTAATTCAGTAGTTACTAGTACCTGGCAAGTATCCTCATGGTGAAGTTGTGGGAGTTTATTGTTTTTGCAAGGTGCTGAGATTTCCATTCTCTGTTTACTTGAGGAGTAAGGCTAGATTTCCATTTTCTATTTACTTGAGGAGTAAGGCTAGATTTCCATTTTCTGTATACTTGAGGAGTAAGGCTGAAATTCTTTTTCATCACTGACACTGGAATACAAGACATTGATGAGGTAAATTTTAAACTTATTGCAATGGTAAATTTTGCATTTTAGATGAAACTGTATACAATTTCATTTTTACACTCATGTTTTGTGGGTTCATTCTCTGTTTACAAACTTTCCAAAATTTCCCACATAGCAATACATGTATTCCACACCTTATTAAACAGTTTGATGAAACAGAAGGATTTTTTGATGATAAGAATTTAAAACAAACCAGATGTTCATATCAATATATCAAAGGTTTTATGTATTACAATCTAGAACTGTCTGTAATATAAATGTTTACACTCTAAATAATTGTATATCTTAAATCTGCATTTTTCAAAGCTTTTGTATAATTATGCATCAAATGAGCAAGTTTAATTATATTTATTTAATTTAATACATGCATTTATACTGTCAAGCCAAAACATTGAAGCATAAAATGATCATCATATGCAACATTGAATGTATGCTTCAGACAAAAATATTCACTGATGCACCGTGTGTGCAGGTTTGGTTTGATTACCCCTGGTCCCTTGTCATAATCTACAATTCTTAACAAAAATGTTAAATGTTGGTCAGGCCCCAAAGACCATAAACTGAGAACAGACTTAAGTCAAAATTTCAAATCAGTATAACTTTTGAAATAATTTTGATAAGGAAACGGAATTTTCATCATATGTTAATATTTGAATATTATACAAACCTGCAAATTTTTAAGCACACATGTTAAATAAAACTCAAGTTATTCAAAATCAAGTTTTTGACTTAAGTCTGTTCTCAGTTTATGGTCTTGAGGCCAGATGCATGAATCAATGTATACACCAAAGAAACATTCAAAAAGTACCAGGTAACACATTGTACAAGTTGGTTTGGGTTTCACATGTGATTAGCTACGAACAAACTTCTGAGCTAAAGTAAGGTATTTAACTGTATATAAAATTGGTCATATGAAGCACCTGAAGCATGCATCAGAATAAGTACTGGTATTTCTAGATGCATGAAATTTGGTTATGGTAACACTTATGATAAGCTAAGACCAGACCTAAAGGATGAGCAGAAAGTTGCATCTATACATAGAAATAGATGGGAGCTAGGCAAACACAGATGTTGAATACAGTACAAGTATACAAACCCCCTTTTCCAACAAGTTTATTGATAGGTGGGATAACTTACCTCTGCCCCTCCTAGCCTGGCTCGGTGATGCATGTGTTCCTGCTAGCTGTGACTGACTCGTTCTGTATACTCTTCCATCAATCATCACCAGGCACTGACCTTGAAGTACTGAGGCCATTGCCCTTGTGACCTGTCCTGATCTCACTTCTGGTAACTGTCCACGCTTATCCAACTGATATCTGTTTTGGTGGAAATCAAATCAACTTTAGCAAATTTTAGGAAGATATTATTTTGAATTGCACAGTCCTGTAATCCTATTTGAGGAAAGTTATGGTGACTTTGAATTTCTACACATTTCTCCTTGACCTCACAAAAAATCTTCACCTTTATGCTGTATCATGATTATTACTTGATCATAACCAACTACAAATCATCAATGTGTACACTGTATCTCTTCATGCATGTTACTTGAATTATTTTTCTGGATAACAGAAGGAGTGATAGACCACCAAACAAAAGGTCTTCATCAATGATCCAAGAGTCAATAGAAATGTTGCCTCTCAACATTTACATTTAAGTGGCCAGAATATATTAACATGTATAATACATGGCCGTAGGAACCGGGGGCCATGCCCCCCCCCCCCCCCCCCACCAATAATTTTGCCAATATATAGATTCCTATAGAAAACATAGCTGCTCTATGTTTGTGCCCCCTCAATAAAAATGTCTGATGACCTTTTTTTTTTTTTTTTTTTTTTTTGCTTGTCAAGGAATTTTTGGTAGTTGATAGTGCCCCCTTAACTGAAAATGTATGGCTGTGCCCCCCCCCCCCCCCCCCCAAACTGAAATTGCTTCCTACGGGCCTGTAATATTACTGTAGATACCTTATTCTATGTTAGTACGTGAACTAAATATTGCAAAATGACTTGTATATGTCAAATAGTGAGAATTTGATTTTGTGAGTGGACTGTTGATCAGAGTTTTCACATGTATTTCATCAATATGAAAATAAGAGAGCACACAACCTTGCATATGTTTGGGAATCTAAAGTTTTAAAGCACATGTTTTCCCAATGAACAAACTACTTCTTACCTTGATTTCTTCAATGTTGTGTTGTGTAGCCTTTTCACTTTCTGCTTATATCTCCAAGACTCTGTCAGAGGAGAAAATACCTTGGCTATTTTTTTTTTTTTTTAACAAAAAAGTTAATATTAAGTACTCAACATTTGATCAAACTCACAGAATTGATACCAAATACTAAAAGAATGGGAAACAAGAGGCCCAAGGGCCTTAACGGTCACCTGAGTATAATACAACAATTTAGAAGTTAAATACACTGATAGATGAAGCTTTGTTGCCCTAAAGCAAGAGAAGTAGGAAGATCAGGATCAACAAAATAATTAGTCTAGTATTCAGTATCAACTCATAAATTAAGTTCTAATCTGTCCCCCACTGAACACTATCACATGCAGACTATAAACAAACTATTAGTGCTTCTGTACTATTTTTAAACCCATATTAAGACCTCTAGCATTGACCTTTCTTATGGTCTTTGAAGAACTTTTAATAAGATAAGTTATTTTTGTCTCATTTTTATTTATCTATTACTTACAGGTCTACCTGATTATTAAAACTAAGAAAATACTTTTTGAATTATATGATAAACATTCTTGCATAATTATCTTATTCTATTAACCTTTCAAATACATTATTTACAGTGATTAATTATCAAAGGTGAATGGAAAAGGGGAATAACTTCTCTCAGTAGAATACAAATTAATAGAGCCCTGCCCAGGACTAGAATGATGAGACAAATGGTCCAGATGTTCAAAAATCTGGTAGAAATACGCTTACTTATATCATTTAAACTTTTACTCAGTTTTCTTCCGATATGCCAAGAAGCAGAGAAGAATTTCACAGGTACAATGCATTTTCACTACAGATTCAACAAAGCCTTAACCTGACAACCAGAACCCAAGACCAAGGGTCAAGAAATTTACAAATTTGGAAGAGTTACCCTCATCATCAGAACTATGGACTTCAAAGAATTAACACTTTTCCACTATATTATCAAAAGCACCCCCCCCCCCCCCCCTCATTATGCCAGAACCCCTGACCCAAGGACCACAAGATTTAAAAATTCTGTTCGAAGCTCCCATTTTCATCATACCTAAGAAATTTATTTATCAGCTCAACGCTAAGGAGCAGACATGATTAATTAACAGAATTAATGCTTTTTCACTATTTAATCAATAGAGCCCCCCCCCCCTTCCTCAAAAACCCCAAAAACTGAGGCCATATATTTAAAAATTTTGGAAGAGGCATCCTTGCCTATCATAATCATGAACTTAGTTTGTTTAAATAATCTCCAGTAGCAGAGAAGAAGATTTTCAAAGAATCAATGCATTTTCACTATATAATCAATAGAGCCCCGTCCTAACACCAGAACCCCTGACCCTGGGGCCATGAAATTCACAATTTTTGAAAAGGCATCCTTGTGCATTATAACCATGCACTTAGTTTGTTTAAATAATACCCAGGAGCAGAGAAGATTTTCAAAGAATTAATGCATTTTCACTATATAATCAATAGAGCCCCACCCTAACATCAGAACCCCTTACCCAGGGGCCATGGCTTTCAAAATTCTGGAAGAGGCCCACCTCTTCATCATAACTATGCACTTAGTTTATCACCTTAATGCCCAGGAGCAGAGGAGAAGATTTTCAAAGAATTAATGCATTTTCACTATATAGTTGAGAGAGCCCCACCCTAACACCAGAACACCTGACCCTGGGGCCATGAATTTCACAATTTTGGAAGAGATACTCTTGCTAATGATAACTATGAACTTAGTTACTTTTTTAAATATCCAGGAGCAGAGAAGAAGATTTTCAAAGAATTAATGCATTTTCATTATATAATCAATAGAGCCCCGCCCTAACACCAGAACACCTGACCCTGGGGCCATGAATTTCACAATTTTGGAAGAGATACTCTTGCTCATGATAACTATGTACTTAGTTACTTTATTAAATATCCAGGAGCAGAGAAGAAGATTTTCAAAGAATTAATGCATTTTCATTATATAATCAATAGAGCCCTGCCCTAACACCAGAACCCCTGACCCTGGGGCCATGAATTTCACAATTTTGGAAGAGGCACTCTTGCTCTTCATAACTATGTACTTAGTTACTTTATTTAATACCCAGGAGCAGAGAAGAAGATTTCCAAAGAAATAATGCACTTTCACTATATGATCTATATAGCCCCACCCTGGGGCCAGAACCCCTGACCCTGGGGCCATGAATTTCACAATTCTGGTAGAGGGCTCAATGCTTATTACAATGATGCCAACAGTTTGACTGCTTGATGTCCTGGAGTAAAGAAGAAGATTTTTAAAGATTGCATTATTTTTGGTGGTTTTAGCCTCACCCCTCAGGCCCCAGGGGGGCAGGGACCATGAAATTCACAATTTTTGTTCCCCTTTACCCATAGATGCTATATGCCAAATTTGGTTGAAATTGGTTAAGCGGTTTCAGAGAAGAAGCTAAAAATGTTCAAATGTTAACACACAACGCACGCCGACGGACGAGAACGGATAGCAATAGGTCACCTGAGTGACTCAGGTGACCTAAAAAACCTTTGCACTGCTGTTAAGATATGCAATGTTTAAGTACTTCATACAACGGAATATATTACTTATATTTTCCTATTCCTCAAGTGAATACTGCTGTACACCCATTAATGGACCTGTGTTATGCTGGATTTCCCAGTTTTCTTATTAAAAGTTTTTTTTTCACCCTAGGAGGTTGTTCAATCCTTCATTTTTTTATAGTTAAGATATAATAATAAACTGCTAAAAATTGTTCTAATGAAAACAAACCTCTTCTTATCCATGTGCTGTATTTAAAATTTCTTGTGGAAGTTCCATGTTTCAGGCCTCCTTTAATATCACGTCCATAAGATCCTGAAGAACTGAACCTTTCCCATGTACTAGTATTCCCTGGAGTATGCTTGCTTTTCCAGGACTGATTTCTGTATGCTGTGTAAGATATCTTGTACTTAGACTTGATGCCACTTGCTGCCCTCTGAGATTTACTTGTTTTTGATTGCCAGGTGTACTTATTGTCAGTCCTGGACTGTGGCTGCCAGCTAAGCTGACCTGAGGAAGACTGTGTATTGCACACATGTGATAAATTATTTTTAGTCCATTTCTTGTCTTTAGAGAATTTTGGATACTTTGGAGTTTTCTTTTTGGCAAGATTTCTAGTTATCTGATCACTAATGGGAGTAACAGAATTCACATTTAACTTTAATGGACACTTTTTGAAAGTGGAATGCTTGTGCTGATTTCTAAATGGCTGCTCATATTTGAGCTTTTCATGTGTCTTAATTTGTTGATTTGTTAAGAGTGGATGATTTTGGCCTAATCTTATTGACTGTTCCCTTTGTAAATTCTTTGTAATGAGATCTGAAATGGGAGTTATAGAGGTGTCCTTCTTAACTCCAAATGGCTTCCACTGAACTTTGGATGGCTGTTGTTTCAATACACTTTTCTTACAAAACTTGCTTCTACCACAAGAGCCCCGAGTGTGTTCTTTATGCCCCCAACTCTGCATATTGCAAGAAATGAGGTCTGATATTGGTGTTTTTGATTTGGGTTTTAATTCTTTAGAATGTCCTGGTCTTGTTGGCAGTGTTGGTTTGTCAAAAGCCATTTCATCACAAGCTTTGGATGCAGAGGCAGCTTTTGAATCTTGACATAATGACATTTCTACATTCTTCTGTGTTTCCCTTTTTTGAGTAATGCACATTTTCAATTTACGAATATTTTCCTCAGTCTCCCTTAACTTGTTCTCTAGCGCTTCTTTCCTCAAAGATTTACTAGCATTTTCTACCTTTCTGGTAGACCCTCTCTGATAGGAACTGTTTGAGGTAGTTGGATTTTGAGCATTTAGAGCCACTTCCTTTATATCTGAACAGTCTTTTTTTGTTAGGAGTTTGTTCTTTACCCAAACATGTGAGCTTGCTGCATTTTCAGTTGGCTGTTTAGGTTCTGCACTAGAGCTGTACCAGTTTCTTTTTGACTCCCTTTGTGGTACTTTGTATCTAGATGAGGATGTTTGTTGTCTTCTTTCAATGGCATTCTTGTTTTGCTTCTCTTTAGTGGCATTTTGTATAAGAGCTGGAAAAGTGCCATATTTATTTGACAAAAATTCTCAGTCTACTATTAAATTGTTATCTGATGCTGATACATTGCCTACTTGCACTTCTGAATTTGAAAAATAACTGAATATTCACAGCCACTTTAAATTTGCATTAAACAATAAAATTTTATGCATTTAATACAAGTAGCAATAAAAAAAAATGGTTACAAATATGTAAAAGCGAAAGTTTTTTAATTCTGGTCAATCCCAATTTTGATTACTTTTAAATATCTTAAAAAACTGCTAGATGATCAATCTAAAGAACTTTATGCTGTAAAAGCATGTTTTTGCCCCATTAAAAGACAAATTTTGAAAATCTTTAGAAATGTACACAATTGTATATATTGTATGAAAATTTTTAATTGACAAAAAATATTATAGTTTGGAAGCATATTATCATCAATGCTTCTTTCTGTGACGTCACAAACTATTTGAACTTTCTGTTATTTTCAAGATAAAGGACAAAATCTGTTGAATTCTGAGTATAGAATATACTGAGCACAAGCTTGCTCCAGATCAATGCTCACATATTTGATTAATATTACAATTCTACACATTATATCAAAAGATAAAGCTGGGGCAGACTTGCGCTTGATGACTTTTAATCAAAATATCGACGTAAAATACACTTTTTCCTCTCAAAATTATTAAAAATTTGAATTTACGTCATCGTCTTGACGTCATATCTAACATATTATGACATCATGGCTGATGAAAATAGATAATGCTCTCAAGTCTGCAGTCCCCCCCCATTTAGAACATAAATATATATATGTTTCTCCATCAACATGATCACAGTTTGATTTTGGGGGCTTTTTATGCAATATCTTACAATGAAAATAAGAAAAAAACAGAGATGACTAGATTTTAGTTCTCAGTCCAAATGAATCATAACTATATTATCCCTCATTTATTGGTAACTGTCTATGTATTAATAGTGACTGTATTCTGATGCAAGTATTTTGATGCAGATTTATGATATTTATAGCCAACATAAAAAATTTCATTTTTTGCACTGTAAATTTATATCCCATTTGGGATATTATATCTCAGATGGGTTATTATTTCTCACATAATCACCGGTGTTAGATAGACCTGTCCAGTGTGAGACAGCAGTGTGAGATTTTTCTGTCTTATTGTGTATTACTACACTGGGAATGTTAACGTAAACATTCCTCCTCATAAAATACTTGTAAAAAATGTCTTAAAAAATCACATATTCTTAAAATGTTGTTGTTTAACTTATTTAGTCAAACTTATTTTCATTCAAAAGATTGTCATATTTTCATTTTCTAAATGGCACTATTTGTAGGTCGCGAAAGGATTCTTCTAAAATGTTACGCTGTCGTTTTTTTAAAATTCCAATTTATATAATTCAGAATGATTTAAGTGGACTGAAATTTATTTTCCGAGGTTACACATACTGTGTAAATCATTTTCAGGTACGATTTCTTTGATGGTGTATTCAGGATTTTAATTGGAAGCTAAATTAAAATAATAAATTTTTCAATGGTGATGACATGGCGCCGTTATTTTGTCTAAAATAATGCGAGAAAAATAATCATTCATTACATACTCATGTGGGATAGTGAAATTCCACCTTAGGGTCAAGATTCACTGTCTAAAACTCGGCAAAGCCTCGTCCTAGACCGTGAATCTTGTCCCCTCGGTGGAATTTTACTATTCCACACTCGTAGTAATGAATGATTCTATTAATCCCAGATGGGTTATTATATCCCATTTGGGCGATTGATCTCAACTAGTTAAAATAATCTAACCATGTCTCGGGACAAGCCCTCACCAACCAGGTCCGTAAGACAATATCATTTTAACGATAGAATGTTCTATCTAGATCCCAGCCTGTTGGCTGTTATACAGGTTGGGAACAATCGCCCAAATGGGATATAATAACCCGTCTGGGATATAATATCCCAAATGGGATATAAATTTACAGTGCAAAAAATTAAAATTTTTATTTTGGCTATAAATATCATAAATCCGCATCAAAATACTTTAAAAGGAATAACTTTTGGCAAGCAAGTTTTTCTGCAACCCTACAGTTGTTAGATTGATCCCCAAGAAGTTTACAAACTTCCGAGGGATCAATCTCTTAAACCATGGTCATACAGAAAAACTTGTTAACCAAAAGTTATTCCTTTATAAGTATCTTGATGCGGATTTATGATATTTAAAGCCAAGATAAAAATTTTCATTTTTTGCATTGTAAATTTATATCCCATTTGGGATATTATATCCCAAACGGGCTATTATATCCCATTTGGGCGATTGGTCCCAACCTGTTATATGTCAACAATGGGTGCTAGTCACTGCGCCCCAAAACCAGAACGCCCCATGCATGAGCGCCCCAAACATTTTTACCGGCGCCCAAGTACAAATATGAGCGCCCCAAATTTAAATCACGAGCGCCCCAAACTTATTTCACGAGCGCCCCAAATAAGCATTTCGAGCACCCCAAGGCTTATTAACTAGTAAAGAAATAAATTATTGGCTTTTTTACATTTCGATGTTATAAAAAAAATATTGATATGAACAATTCACAAGCGCCCCAAATTATATATATCGTGCGTGCACCAAATTTTACGTATAACGAACGCCCCAAGATTTGTAAACTAGCATTATGAAGTTACAAAACGTACTCAAATTCTTTCCGTTTTTTTAAGTACATGTACATATACCATGACCGAAATACATTTTGAATGAAACACAGCAGAGTGAATTTTATTATACTGAATTGTTAAATCTTAATTTAATAATTGCTAGTAAGTAGGTTCGTCTCAAAGATCTACTACACTGTACGAATAGAATAGAATAGACTTGAACACTGATGTATATTTCTGCAGTAACTAATTTATGACCAGAAAATTTCTAAGATTGTCATATATTTATACGTTCAGAAATATTCATTTTCGAAAGATGTAGTCTTACAGCTTTATGACTGTATATATGTATTAATAAACTGGTTTTTCCCTCCATTTGATTCGTATCAGTAAGCCCATCAGTAATGTTAACAAATACGTATACATGCCCTTCCATGTCTTCGTCGCATCTCTCTTGCTATCATCACTTATAAGCTGCAGATCTGTAGCTTTATCATCACTAGTTTGAACATATGTTCTTGTATAGTATTTTAATGGTTTGAACACAAGTTCTAACAACTTATGAGGTTATCACCAGACACGGCTACAACTGTCTGATAAAAACTTTGATACAAAGTTTTACATATTTCTTTACTTTAATTTTGCTGATGAAAGAAATTCGGAATTCATATAATTACAAAATATAAAAGTATTTCAGATACATTGTTGACCAGTCAGGTCAAATTTGGAACTTATCTCCTGTAAATCGGTAATCTTTTCAAGGTACCAATTGTTTGAGAAAAAATTATGCACATGTATTGAACCCATCTATCCATATAAAGAAAGTTATTTATTATAAATCTGTTAAATTTTTACTAATTTTAATGATGGGGTTCAAAATCTCGGTATATCTATCTCGTACTTTGTATAATGCACGTGCCGCGTGACATCAATGATTAATTGTCGTGTACCTGATTATGTAATACATTATATTACACACCTTTCACTAGATCAAGAACTAGCAGACATTCATATCATTTTAGACCAATTCAACAAATATACACCGTAATTCTGGTCTTTCGGCGACATTTTTTAACACTTTACTACCTTTCCATGTGAATTACATCAATCATATCTACACAGATGAATCATAAATGTAATTCAAAATGAATACATTTAAAGCAATAAACAAAAAAATATGAATGAAAATTTGTACACAAATATTAAGCACCCCGTTTTCCATAAACATGATAAATTAAAAAAATATTGTAAACAGTACATCATAGACATCATGACGCAAATTTGGGCAAGCAACTTTTACAATTTATAAAACTTTGAAATGTTTTATTTTTCCAAATTTTTACATGTTTTATTTCCAAATTAATTCAAATTTCTTGATATATTAATTATAATAATAATTTAAAAAATTCAATAGAAAAAAAATAAATAGGTTATTACTGTAGGATATCTAATATTAAATACATTTAATTTAACAAAAAATTATATAGAACCAACAGGGAACTTCTTTAATATAAAAATTAAGATTTTGTCACGATATACTTGAAAACATAAGTTAATTACATGTATATACTTAATTAGAACCGCGATACAAAATGTGAAAACGTGCTAGATAGTACTTCATAAATTTCGGAACCATATATAGGTTCGTACTGGAACAAGGTTTTAACAATAAAATAATAAAGCAACACATATTGAACGTTGTTGAATTATTTATAAAAATGGACTTACCACTTTCTTGCAATGAAGACACTTCATCTCTCAAACGATCCAAAAGAAATGAACAGTCAGTCGACAATTTTTTTTTCATCACAATGTGGTAAAAAATAATTATGAGATTATAATTGAGCGGGCTCCTTTATGTGGGATAAAGGCGGTGCTCAGACTTTGAATCTATCGTTTTTCATTACACAAATAATTAAAAAGTTAATAATTTAAAAGAATATTACACAAGAGTTCTTTGAAGAGGGAAAGTCAAACAAAATAATACTTTGTACAGTTGTATGCAACTAAACATAAGTCAATTTCAACATAGATTAAAATGAAATATTAAAAAAATATATATATAACCATATAAAATCATCACATAATGAGCACCTGTGTACCTGTGTTAGATCGGACGATATTATTTGGGGCGCTCGAAATGCTATTTTGGGGCGCTCGTGAAATAAGTTTGGGGCGCTCGTGATTTAAATTTGGGGCGCTCATATTTGTACTTGGGCGCCGGTAAAAATGTTTGGGGCGCTCATGCATGGGGCGTTCTGGTTTTGGGGCGAAATGACAGTAACCCGTCAACAATACAATTTGAGCTATAGACAAGCCACTGGCAATATTTGAATAAAAATTACATAAAATGACTTTTCAAAACACGTATTTGTTACTTATTTCACCTTGTAAACCGATATTTAAACAAATTACCAGTCAAACTGTTGATTTTCTGGATTAAACTTTGTCTCTCATCTTCTGTTGACATAATTTGGGAGTGTTTTGATTTGAATAACTCGTACAATTAAATATTCGTCTAAAATATATTTGATAAGAATGTTGCGTAGTTATATCGATAAAATGATCATGAAACGGATAATTTGCGTATATTTATAAGTTAGATAGCAGTTGACATTAGGATTTAAAAAGAAAAACTTTTGGAGAACATTAGTATTTTACTTTAAAAAAAAAGTTTTCTTTCCGCATTTTAGACTCATCCTACTTTCGTTTCAAATAAAGAGATTAGTTCTCGTGCGAAGTTGTGAAATCCCAGTACTAGATATAGTTTTTTCATCTATAATATTTTGGTGTTATGTAGTCTCAAGTGTGCCAAACATGGATTTTAAGGATCTTTGCGATTCAGCAAGGAAATGGGCGGATGGCGAGAGTGATTTCAATGTGGAGTCTCTTGATGAGGAAGAACGAAAGTTGAATTTTAGAATAATTGATACTGACTTTGTTTTCACCATCACTGTTCCATCAGATGACAGTGGGGATTGGGTAAAATCTCTGTTAATGTTTCTCTATTTCTTTTTTTTTTTTTTTTTTTTTTTTTTGCTTCTTTTTTTTGTAAATTTGTAAGTTATCAGATTGAAAAGAATAGAAAAAATGACACTACAATGATTTTTTTGGTTAGGCATTTTCTTTGATAGTTAACAAATGCAATACTGTAATAAAGTAAATGTAAGCTAATGAATACTATTTCTTTCAAGTGACTTATCAAGAAGTTGGCTTGGATTTTTTACCTAAAAATATGGGGAAAAAAAAGTAATCTTTAACTTTGATCATACTGTAACCAACATGGAGAAAACTGTGACAAACCAATCCAGTATTTGATCCATTTTTTGATGGATTCCAAACATTTTATTTGAACCAGGCTCCCTGAATCACTTGTCAGGTGCTCTACCATCTGGGCTATCTGGCCATGGGTGATTGAATGTGCCTGACTGCCACATTCCTCCCTCATTTAAGCTTCGCCCCAAAGACACAAACCAAGACTCTTCTCTACCAGGTCTTTTGCCAGTCACATTCAAAAAGTTGTCATAACATCAAATGTAACTGGTGAGGAGAAAATTGTGATAGACCTGATCAGGATTCAAACCCAGATGCCCTGAATCATTTGTCAGTGCTACATCCTTGTATCTGGCCACTGTTGATCAAACCAACCTGATCTGAACACCACAATATAAAAACTTTTGTGTTAGATGTGTATACATAACTATGCTTTATCTTTAAAAGGCTCATTGATAAATGGTCAGATAACTCAGATGGTAGACCACATATGTAGAGTTCAGTTGCATTTTCTCCCTTCCTCCAGGTTACAAAATTAATGTTTATTCAATGTTTAACTTGTGCATAATAGTAAAACAAAAAAGTATTGAAATCCAAGAAAACTGATACTTGATTATCATCAAAAATGATTTACTTTCGTTTAGAAATAAAACTTTTTTGCAGATGGTATGGAGTGAAAGTGAACAATTTCTTCCTTACCTGCAAGATATTCAAGAATATTTATCAAGCAATAGGAAAAGAACCATGACAGAGATTCTAAATAAAGTAAAGGCTGAATGTCATAAGGTATTACAAAGATGTTTTCTCATGAATTACTGCATATTTGATTCATCATCAGTATATAATTAGGATAATTATTAAATATTCATAAATATTATATCTTTCCTTGTTGTTGCCTCCATCAGAAAAAGGAAAAGGGTTTTCTGTTCACACATTTAATTTGTCTATCTACATTATCTATATGTCAGTTTAGCAAAGGTAACATTTTAGTAATTTTAAACCCAGATGCAGGCTGTTCCTATACTGATTTTGTTAACACGTGCATTAAGATCTGTAAGGCAGATTCTTGATTAGTAATTACTGAAAAAGCTGCCTTTGCTAGAATAATGCTTTCTTTCCCTCTCTCTGTCTCTCTCTCTCTCTCTCTCCCCGAGAACTCTCTACCTTGTACTAAGTCCCCACTTCTTTATGAATACCCACTTGTGAGAATCCTCCACAATTTCAACCTCAAGGTGTTGGTCTCAAGTTTTTCTTTGTTTTGTTCTTTATGATTATTCTGATTCTAGGTAACATGTTGTAATTTCTAAAATTAATGTTTTGCATGTGTTAAATAGGTGATAAAATTTCTGGGAAAGGCTTTTCTTGGTTTATATTATCACAGCTTTGAGATATCTTGGATTTTGATGCAAATTTAGTAAAATTGTAAAAAGATAATTTAATTGTTTTCTTCTTTTTCCAGGATTTGTAAAATACTAAAATTTTGCTTAAATACATTCATGACAAACACAATGGAGATATACTTTGCTCTGCATGACAAAAACAGAAAAATGTGTGAAAATACAAAATTGTCTTTGTATATTATTTTTTCTTTGCATTGTGTTTGTGTGCATTATAGTACAGGTGAACTTCGATATCTCGAACACAGATATCTCAAATACCATGGATATGTTGAAGAAATGTGGAAGTACCAAGTCCTTTTTCTTTAAGTATTTTACCCCCAATATCTCTAACTCTTGGATATCTTGAATTTTTTTCTCTGTCCCACTGATTTGAGATAACGAGGTTTGACTGTAAGTATACTTGTAGGAATAATTTCAGTTAGTTTTCATGGTTATAGATTATAACATATTCTTAGCAGTTGATTTATGAGGATAGTTTTAGCAACTTTGAATTTTATATTTAAGCTTCTTCCATCATCAGCTGAAGAAGAAAATGAATCGGATGATGATGATGATGATGATGATGATGATTTTGATGATTATTACAATGAGAATGAGGAAGTACAAGAGGAAGAGACTGAAGTCAAAAGTCAGGGGGGCAATGAGGATGATGAGTAAGAATATTAATTAAGTTGGAAACTTTGATTGTTGTCTAATGAAGTTAAAAAGGGGTATTGATTGAGAGAATAAATGTAAGATTTGCTGTTTATGAAGTGAAACCAAAGACCAGATAATTTTCATAAGACTAGAGCTGCTGATGTAAGAAAGTATCAAATTTTCTCTATTGGTTATCACCTTATAAACAGCGAAATTGGCACTACATTTTAGATTTTTTAGGTCACCTGAGTCACTCAGGTGACCTATTGCTATCCGTTTTCCATCGTGCATTAGCAGTTGATTTGGCATATAGCATCTATGGGTGAAGGGGAACAAAAATTATGAATTTCATGGTCCCTGCCCCCCCCCCCCCCCCAGGACCTGAGGGGTGGGGATTAAACCACCAAAATTAATGCAATCTTTAAAAATCTTCTTCTTTGCTCCTGGACATCAAGCAGTCAAACAAGCAGTCAAACTGTTGGCATGACTGTAATAAGCATTGAGCCCTCTACCAAAATTATGAAATTCATGGCCCTAGGGTTAGGGGTTCTGGTGCTAGGGTGGGGCTATATAGATCATATAGTGAAAGTGCATTATTTCTTTGGAAATCTTCTTCTCTGCTCCTGGGTATTAAATATACTTACTAAGTACATAGTTAAGTTATTATGAGTAAGAGTGCCTCTTGTAAAATTGTGAATTTCATGGCCCCTGTGTCAGGGGTTCTGATGTTAGGGCGGGGCTTCATAGATTATATAGTGAAAATGCATTAATTCTTTGAAAATCTTCTTCTCTGCTCCTGTGTATTAAATAAAGTAACTAAGTACATAGTTATAATGAGCAAGAGTGCCTCCTCCAAAATGTGAATTTCATAACCCCAGGGTAAGGGGTTCTGGTGTTAGGGCGGGGCTCTATTGATTTTATAGTAAATTACCTTAATTCTTTGAAAATCTTCTCTGCTCCTGGGTATTAAATAAACTAACTAGGAACATAGTTATGGTGAGCATGGCTGCCTTTTCAGAAATTGTGAATTTCATGGCCCGTGGGTCAAGGGTTCTGTTGTTAGGGTGGGACTCTATTGATTATATAGGGAAAATGCATAAATTCTTTCAAAATCTTTTTCTCTTCTCCTGAGTATTATTCAAAAAAAGGAAGTCCATGTTTATGTTAAGGAAGAATGTCTCTTCGAAAATTGTGAAATTCATGGCCCCTGGGTTAGGAGTTCTGGTGAAGGGGGGGGGGGGCTCTATTGATTATATATAGTGAAATTCATAATTTCTTTCAAAATATTTTTTTTCTACTACTGGTAGAAAGAAAGAAGTGTATAGTTATAATAAGCAAGGGTGTTTCTTCCAGAATTGTGAGTTCGTGGCCCCTGGGTCAAATGTTCTGGTGTAAGGATGGGGCTTTATTTATTTAATAATATAGTGAAAATGCATTTCTTTGAAAATCTTCTATGCTTCTGGGAATATTTGAGGGAAACAGAGTAAACAAACTAAAAGTTTTAATATGCAAGGGTATTTTTACCAGAATTTTGAACACCAGGACCATTTAGTCAAGTTTTCTGGTCCTGGCCAGGACTCAATTAACTTGTATTCTGCTGAGCAAAGTTATTCCCTTTTGCCATTCACCTTTGATAATTAATCAATGTAAATAATGTATTTGAAAGATTAATAGAATACAAGAATTATGCAAGAATATGTATTGTGTAATACAAAAAGTACTTAAATTCATAGTTTTAATGATCAGCTAGACTTGGAAATAATAGATGAATAAAATTGAGACAAAAATAATTTATCTTTTTAAATGTTCTTCAAAGGCCAAGAGAGGCCAATGTGAGAAGTAATAATTATATGGGGTTAAAAAAAAATTGTTAATAGTCTGCATGGTAATAGTGATAAATGGGGAACAGATTAGATATTAGACCAATTATTTTGTTGATGCTAATCATACTATTTTTCTTGCTTTTGGGCAACAAAGCTTCATTTATCAGTTTATTGATCCTCTAAATTGTTGTGTTGTACTCAGGTGACTGTTAAGGCCCTTGGGCCTCTTGTTTCTTGTCCCTATCCTGTTCCGGCTCATGTCTTTTCCAAATTATAAAATTCATTTAAGTATTTATCATGCTGACTTGCAGCTGAAATCTCTTTATGAAGCTATAACCCCAAATCTTATTGGCATTGTTATTACTGACAGGGCTGTTGTAGTGTTAATTGATAAGGCATTGATTAATGATATTGCTGTATTACAGAGAAGAAGACGAAGATGCCAACTTTTTTGGTTCTGGATCTAGTCCTGTGGCAGTCCAAAGACTTCTGAAAGGTATACAGACTGAAAGAATAAAATTAGAAAAAAAATAAACAAAGAAAGAGATCAAACATATAAAAATGGCTTTTGTAAGGAAATGAGTGTCAGAGCAACTACAGTTGAACTTTGGTACATGTATCTTGAACACGGATATCTCGAATACCATGGATATGTCCAAGTCATTTTGAAGTCCCAACTGCTTATTCCTTATGTATTTTACCCTGGATATATTGAATCATTGGATATCTCGAAGTATTTTCTCGGTCCCTTCGAGTTTGAGATAACGAGGTTTGACTGTATTAATTATTTATCTACCGGTATGTATTAATCACATATTGTTTAATAACTAACAGCAATTGTTACAATATCTGTCAAACTGAAGGCTCTAAAAGTAGATTTGGTTTTTGTCTGAATTTTTGACACCTAGAAAAGGTTGAATGATTAACTCTGATAAAAAAACCTCCACTACATTATAATCAAATTCACACAAAAACTGAAGAAGCCTTTTCATTTAGCAACTTTCATTATGCCTTTGTAATTATAGTTTTTGCCCTGTTTGTCTGTCTGTTTATCTGCAGAAACTTTAACTTTGGTCAGAACATACATCTTCCATGTGATAAGACCTTCCTTTAGGCACTTATATTTTTGATTTCATGACCTTGATCTTAGAGTTTGACTTACATGTACTTTCAAAAATTTTCACTTCGGCCATAACATCTGAATGGATGATGCTTGGGCTTTCATATTTTACATTTCTTGTGATGAGACCTTTCTTTGAGTGTGAACATTTGACATCATGACCTTCACCTTGGAGTTGGACCTTCTTTTGAAAAACTTTTACCTAACTCATGAGATGCCATACTGGGACATCAGTGTTTCACAAACACATTTTATTTTGATTTTTGGACATTATTTGTTTTAGATTTAAAGGCTTTCCGTAAAGATGGCAGAAAGTTTGGGCTTGATGGAGGACCAAGGAATGATAACTTGTTTGTTTGGGTATGTTGTTTGTCATTCTTGTGTCAGTAATTAATGTACATATACAGTCCCTGAAATGTTCCACTTCCCCAAATGAACTTTGAGTAAATGCTAAGGGGATTATGCGATAGAAGCCAATGGTCAATAAAAGAAGAATGGAAACTGAATGCAAAGCATAAATGGAGCAGAGTGTGAAGTTGAGCAATCAGAGAGTGCAAATAAATGAATGGAGAGCAAACACCAAAAGGGGAGGGGGGCATAGTGGAATGTTGCAGGGACTGAAATGCAGTTTTGAAAACATTTAATATATAGTATGTTAAGGATAGCTATTGAACTTAATGATATATATTTTTTCCAGGATATTAAACTTGTTGACATTCCAGATTCAAAATTAGCAAAAGATTTAGATGTTTTTTCCAAAAAGCATAATACCGAGGTAAGTGTTTTCTGGATATTGATCTGTGTGTTTGAAACAGAATTCGAGAGTAGTAGTTATTGAAAATCTAAAAATTGGAAATAATTTTTGATAGAATTGATGTTGTGTTGGCTACTATTGTGATATAACCAGTGTTCCTTTGAATGTGAAAAATTCATTAAGTTCATATTGTTGAGAAGATGTAGACATTATAATATTAGGGCAATTAAGACTACGGATGATGAATATTTTATGTTCCTTGTAAAATTGTTCTGATTTTTATTACAGCCATGTATTAACTTAGAAATGATGTTCCCAGCAGACTATCCAATGTCTCCACCCTTTGTTAGAGTCACGACACCAAGATTCAAATTTCTCACAGGTAACTTCCCACCCAGTAAAGTGGAGTGAAATGATAAATTGTCTTCATCGTAACAAGTGTTAAAGAAGCAAAATATACATCAAATTAGTATTACGTGGTATTAGTTGAGATGAATATTTAAAATTTTCGGTATATTTCATTGTTTCAAGGTCATGTGACTATTGGAGGCTCAATATGCATGGAAATGTTAACAAAATCAGGATGGACACCAACAAATGACATAGAAGTAAGTGTCTAGTAATAAATAAACACATCTCTGTTCATAACCCGGACACAAAAAGCTCTTTTATCAAAACGTTTTAAAAACATCTGATTATAGAAATTCATCCTGTGAGATAACTTTTCATCAACATTGATACATGACTATTGTACATTATTTACTTTTTTCCTAATAAGTATTTACGTATATATACCAAGCACATAAGTATTATATTTATTTTTAGAATATACTAGTACAGATTCGATGTGAGATTCTAAGTGATCCTAATGCTCAGCTGGACTTGAATAATGCAAACACAGCTTATACAATGTCAGAGGCCAAGTCTGCGTTTACTAGAATGGTACAAAGATATGGATGGGACAAATCCTAATGCTGCATTGTTATACTGTATTATACAATCACCCTTCCTTTGACTTTTGCAGTAACAAATATTTCTATAAATATTATATTATTATTAAAATTTATTTTGAAGTATGAAAGATTAATATCATTCATTAATTCTTAGTTCATCATGAAGCTGTAAAAATAGACCACTTTTTGAAATTATTTGTACTTATTATATTTAATCTCGTTTACATTACTTTAGAAGTATTTTTTCACTTGTTGTAACTTTGATTGTTTTATTTTTCTGTGCTGTTCATTCTATTCTTTTTATGTCATATCCCTTTTATTTTGTATCATTATAGTTTGATAATGTTGTAAATGTTTTATAAACCAAGATATTACAAATGATTTTTGTCCTTATAAAGAAATGATATAAGTAACAATTCACAATGGAGAATAATTTGTAATTGAATGTTTTTTTTCAGTATTGAAAGGAAATAAAAAAATGTTTTTGCTGTTTGATTTTGTCATATTTTATTGCATCAATCACACATTATCATCCAAAATTTTAAAATGGTAAATAAAATGTAACTATCAATGAAAAAAAAATTGTAAGATCACTATTATGAAATTTTGGTTCAAGTACATTTATTGTACATTTGCTTCCCAACACACTGAGTGTAAATTATTCATTCAGTAAAGTTTCCGTTTCTGTACAAAATTCATCGAAACAAATATTTAGGTGTTAATTATATTCTGGAGTTAAAACTGTACAGTAAAACATCATCATACCATTGTGCTTATAATGAATTTATGCTTACAATGAAGTGATTTTTATTCCCTGTAATTTAAAAGAATTAACTCAAAATTGTTCGTTTTTGAACTGAGGTGTAAGGCTTTAGCGTATTTTACCATACACAATATTTCTAAATACAGCTGTAAGTAAACAACAAATTTAGAGATTGCATGTATGTTCACTAGAGAATAAATCTGAAATATGATTTTCTGGTTTCATCTCAGGTTTTAGATATAGCTAATCCCTAATTCAATTTTAGTTATTCCTATTAATATCTTTGAAATTCAAAGAAATTATTTATTATGAGAATAATTGGAAAAAATAGCAATACTGAAACTTGAGTTACCTCTTTTCCCCTGAAAAGGACTAATAGTTTTATAATACAATGTATAACAAAAATTTTATTTTTAAGTATTAAAAGGATATATAAGCCAAAAACTGTACATTCTGTAAGAGAAAAAAAAACTGTTGGTGTTTGGGCTTTCATATTTCATGACACAATATGAACAACTTATTCAATGAAAGAAAAAAAATGATTGAGGCTAGTAGGGAATTTTGTGTTAAAACTGGAGAGTATAAGGTACTTGTTTATAACTCCGATTTTTCCTTTTAGCTTCTTTTTGTCTTCCTTTTGTCTTCATAAAATAAAACCAGTTTCTTTTACAGGCCCGTAGAAAGCAGCCCCCTTCCCCCATTTTTTCTGAGTATAGTATTCTGCTATAGTAAATTTTCATTAAGATGATGGTTGCCTCCCCCCCCCCCCCCCCAACTTTTTGTTGCTGTAAGCTCGAGCACTGGCAAATTCCAGGATTTGAACAGTTTTTTCCCTTTACAGATTTTTTTAGAGGTTCCCGCCCACTTTTGAAACCGTTGCCACGGGCCTTTGAAACCGTTGCTACGGGCAAGTTTTAAAGGCTATAAAACTACAGTTGCATCAATTTCAGTTACTTTCAAGTCAAATGAACCTGTCCTTGGTCCAAACACTGAGATTGTTCTAAGAGATATTTTGGATATGGAGAGTGAGAATTCTATGAAGCCAAATTTCAGTCTAAAAGCGATGTCTTTTCGGATATATCGCGCCAGCCAATTTGTAGAAATCAAGGACATGTTCCATAATTCTTTGAATCAAAAAGATCAAACTGATTTGATAAAATTGATACGAAACGGGCTATCTAAAAATAGGAATTAAGCTAAGTAGATTTAAACGTTTAAATTAATGAATAGCAAACCACAACAATTAATAACTACAATACATGTAGTTGTCAAAAATGCGTGAAAAGTGTGATCACTAAATTTAAACAACAAATGACACCTGAATTTCAAAATCTGAGCTATACTAGTGATTAATCGATTTTTTAAAACTGTTAAATCATTGCAATTTCCTATGATGTAACAAAGCAAGAAAAATCTGCAATACCTTTCAAATTTTTTTTGTTTAAGTATTACCCCAGCTTATAATTATATAGCTTTTAAGAAAATTGTAAACGTTTAACCTAGAGAAGTGTCTGATTGATATGAAACATTTGCACTACGGATTAATAATATGTTATGATCACGATACAAGGAAATGATGTACACCAAATAGATAAATCATTTGCTTTCTTCTATCCGAGTTACTCTAATCAAACAGCTTTTTGGGACCTGTAAGTGAAAATATTTAAATTTTAATCTATCTGATATTTACGAATGTTGGTATTTTGAACAGTTGAAATGGAGTTTGAATTTATACCCAACCTCTTTATGCCCAACACTGATATCTTAATCTACTGCAGTGTTATAATAGAACTTTCATTTCTGGATCTAGGATATCGAGGTATAAATCAAAATTTTGGAAAAGGGCTGCCGCCTATTGCAATTGTGAGACAAACATATCAACTAGGAGCTCCTAAACTTTCCTGGTTTCAAAGTTTTTGCTGCTGGTTCATTGTGAAAATGTCCTTTATGAACCAGATTGCCCGTGGTCCTCTATGCAGTATCAATTGCAGTAGTCCGCCGTGGACGTTAAGTTTTTTCAGCAACACATCAGTATAATGTTACAGTCATCAGTTTATACCGACAACATTGATTTTTGGTAAAGCTATGTAATGCAATCAAAATCGCTTTTACGGTATCTTAGACAAGGCAATTTTCTAGGAGAGAGTCTCTTCTATGAAGACACAATAGTTACTGTACTGTTTTGTTTTTGTTTTGTTTTATTCTTGAACTTACAAGTGTTGAGATATATAACCCAAGAACAGTTATCTTCATTGCAGATTGGTCAGCGAACAAGTGCTTTGTTTCTATAAAATTGTATTAGACGATTAAAAGGCAAAATATGCAAACCATATATCCTTCCGTTTTCAGTTAAGTGAAAGTGATAAAAGAATTATAAAGTCTACATGAACAATATGTTATGGTTCCAGTTAACAAAGCCTATAACAATATAGTCTACATGTATGTCTGTAGGGCTCATTATTACAACTGCATTTTTGAAGAACTTGGCTTTAATTTTTTCACATCTAGTAATCAAGTTTATTCTCAGAGTTCCTTTTCAGAGGAAGAAATTCTACGAAATCACTCTACAGTTTTAAATACTTTTAACATCCCAGGCAACAGTAGTTAGTATGAGGTACCGTTATACTGGATTCCAAAGCCCATAAAATCCTTACAAACGGATACATGGCAGGGTTCAGTAAATGTTCTACCAAGCCCTTATTTTACTCCTCAGAAAAGAAACCCATTAACTATACTATGAAGATCCGGAGAAACTTCAGACGTACTGTGCTAAGCATATTTAAAAAGTGGTGTAAATCAAATCTGTGTTCTTAAAAACTCCAAGGAAGTTTTGGAAAATGAATCACAAGTTTTGTTCAAAATCAAGCATCAAAACGTAAAGCTTTGGTACGTTTTATACAACCATTCCCCCACGATAAATTAAAGACCAGTCTTTTTGACATCATAAACTGCCGCTTCAATAAAAATGGAACTCGGACATTTTCATATCTTGTGTTAGGTTATTTTCAAAGTTACTTTGTTAAAAATCACTCTGATTCCACACACAGCTGGTACTCTGAAGTTGTCGGAGTTCCTCAGTGACAATGGTATCTTTGGAGACCAGGTCTTCCAACAGTCTGCTGGAAATACGAGGGGCACTTATTGTGCTCCTTTGAAAGCCAACTTGTTTTCATATTCTAATGAAGCAGAACTTATAAAAATTCTACATAAGAAGAAGAAAACTTTTGCTGTGGCCTTCAATTTGACATTTAGAAATATCGACGACGTTTTATAAATCAACAATAGTTATTTTCATTTATAATTTGATTTATATTTCGATATATCTTGGTGATTTGGAAATAATGCTTCACTGAGTTTGCCACATCTGTTTCGTATTTGGATATATTCCTGACTATCTATAGACGTTAATGGCCAACTATCAGCTAAACTATATGATAACTTCAGCTTTTCCATCGTCAATTTCCTCCCCTATTTATGCAGTAATATTTCAATATCACCATGTTGTTTATGTCTCCCAACTGATTTGGTACGCAAGATCATGTTCTGATTACGAACAATTTGTAAACAAGGACGGCTACTGACAAATAAGTTAATGTTACAGGGTTTATAAGACCGATTAAATTCAACATTTCTCAAATTTTATGCCCGATTTATTGACCTTTTTAGCTTACACAATCTATCATTGGGTGAAGATAACGAACCGTGATCATACCTTTTTTTCTTGATATCCATCAGCTAGGAAAACAATTTGAATGCTTACAAAGAAGCCCTCAATATGAATTGTAAAACTCGTATCCATATCATATCACATCCAACTTCCCTTACTTATCCAGCAATATACCTTCATACACCTGCGTACGGGGTTTATATCTCTCAGTTGATTCGATACGCAAGAGCATGCTCTACGTATGTGCAATTTCTAAAACGAGGTAAATTATTGACAAACAAGTTGATGAAACAAGAATATCAGCAGTCTCGTTTAAGTTCTATGGTCGATACAATGACCTTGTCAGCAAATACAATTTATCATTGAGTCAAATGCTGACTGACGTTTTTCATACTAATTGTTAGGTCATTATTTACACACTGAATTGTCGACGGATTTTCCGTTATTTCCCGATCATGACAAGGAGCACACGGCGGGTGTGACCGGTCAGCAGGGGATGCTCACTCCTCCATGGCACCTTATCCCACCTCTGATGTTTTGTTTGCTCTGCACCTATTTTTTAATGTTTAATGGACTTTTGAGCATGAATACTGTTCGTTATCTCCATATATTTCATCCATGTGGGAGCATGGATGGGCTTAGTTGGTTATATTAAATATTTATTATCAAATGAGCTATTGAAAATCCTCTTTACTCCTGGAATCCATGTAAAATGGTAAACTGTTTCTCATGATTATTCAAAAAAATAGAGAGCCTTCAATTAAAATGGTAAAGTTAATGTATCATAGATTCAGTCTTCAGCGAGGGACATTGAATTTTAACATCTTTTTCATCTTGGATCCAACATACATATTTTGGTTAATAATGAGCAGTCAGCTGCTAAGTGCGTAAACTAAAATTCATTCTTGTCTCCTGCTGTCAGGTTTCGATATGAATTATAATATTCATATAGTAAAAATTGTAATTTGAGATTTTTCTCACTGTTTCCATGATTATAACGACAGTTAGCCCCGGGTTCAGGGATCACCTTAGGGGTGGGACTAAGATGGTCATTTATGAAAAATTTATTATATCTATGAATGTCTTCTCTGTTAAAAGAATCTATCAGGCAAACTGTTTGCATAATTAGATAAGCTGTACTATACCAGAGTTCCAGGGTTCAGGCCCCAGAGTGGACTTAGTTGACTAAATAAAATCTGTACATAACGAACAGAATTCGAGCTCAGAAGTCCATTAAATCAATTCAAAATCAGGAGCAGAGCAAACAAGAACCTCTAAAACATTAGCGGTTGGAACAGGTGTCATGGAGGAGTGAGCATACCCTGCCGACCTAATACTAAAAAAATATCATATCTTTTACAAATCTTACAAATATCTTCTACATGTAGGAAATAAACTTCGTGGAATGTGATAATGAACAATGAGTCCAGCTCTATCAGAAAATCTTAAATCTAAATGATAGTTATATATGTCCTTATGAAAGAAAATTCAGTTTAAAAGTCATTGTTTGGACTAATTTTATTTGTGTGCTTATAAAAGAAGATAAAACAAGGAAGTTTTAGAATTGCATTTAGCATTTGTGTGAACATACCTCTGTATCCCCGTAATCATAGATCTGAAAGACTTACAGGAAAAACTGAGGAAGGAATTGAGGAAAAAATACAAAAATGTAAGGAGACATGGGAACCAATTGTGTAAAAGATGTTGAAGTGTGAAATATAACGGGACAGGAAAAATTCTATTTCATTATCAAAGCACATCTGATAAGTTGAACCTAGCTAAACAGTAACGCCTACACAAGATAGTATTTAAAATGTTTTCCTAAATAAGAGTTTCTAGAGTGGGCGTTTAGATTTCTCTTCATACAATGGAAAACCGACACGGATACAAGAAAGTTTTGTACTAATTAAGGTAAGTCAATATTTTTCCCGTCACTTGGAGATTTTGAAACATGTTTGAAATTAGATATAATATAAAATAAAAAAAAAATCAAAATTATTTGAAACATGTCATTTTTTAAATATGCTATAGTCCTAAAGAAATAAGTTTAAAAATGGACGGAGTTCAAAGACGTTAACGTTTATGCTTATCATTTCCGGAGTTTTTATTTCGTGGTGTTAATGTTTCTACATTTGATCAGGATCTAAAGTGTTGTACCTGTCCTCCGACCTCAAAAAGATTAAGATCCACGTCCCCTCTACATACATTCCGTTCTTTGAGAATAATACGGTATCATACCTTTGATTTAATATGATTAGTCATCATAAAGTCCAGTTTTACATTCGAGTACTTGATTGCTCTATAGTATGATACTAGTATTATATGAAAATGGACTGAAATCTCATTACAATTACAAGGGTTATCAAAGAATATAACTACATACTAGTATACTTGTTCTTAAAAAGTATAAAATAATGTTAAGTCGTTTCATTCCTTCTCAAAGCATTCCACTATGCATTTCTGTTGGCCCAGTCCTTTTCAGAAAAAAAGGAAAATAAACCATAAGTTGTCCAAACAGACAAACATTTTCAGCGTTTTCTGCTTTAATTCTTCGAATAAAAATTCGCTGATCCTCAGATCCAATTTTACAAATTCCATTGGTGAAAGCTCAGGACCAATAATAGTATGCTTCTTTGAAATCAAAGTAAATTGTTGTGATGGAAGAACCTTTAGTTAAAAACTTATCTAAACTTCTACAAATTATCACTTAATAAATACTTTTAAATTATACAAATTATCACTTAATAAATACTTATAAATTATACAGGAATTGCTCATTATTATAATTCATTTTCCCCTAAATGATGGCACTTGGTAATTGACATCTTTTGATATACAGATATACCTGTGTTAAAAAAGTGTTACTTTACATGTGAATACAAACTAAAAAAAGCTTGATTATAAGCATAAAAAGATGTGAAATAGGTTTATCGAAACTATTACTTTTATAATCTCTTGTGATTTTTCAGAGCTACTCCAGAAATGGACAAGATGACGTATAACTATATTAGGATCGCTATTATCTTTTGGATATCAAGCCAACTGGTTGAATCTTTCATTTTAAATCGGATTACTAAATCAACCTGCCTCATTTCCTCTGAAAAAGCCGATTGTTCGAATAGAAGCTTGGTGGACATATCATTTCTCAATTTAACACATAATATTAAAATCTTAGATCTGTCAGAGAACGACTTTTTCAATGTAACCGATAATTTTTTTAAATCGATATCAGATTCGAATATAAAAAAACTCTTCATGAAGAGATGTCACATTCACTATATATCGCCGAAAGCATTTACTCTTATTCCGAACATACGCTCAGTAGATCTATCTTTCAACAATCTGAGTGTCAATGCCCTGAAGGAAGGTTTGAAAGGTTTCAGTGGCTCCAGTATAAAGTATCTCGACATTTCGAATATCATTGCAAGTAAAGAGCCTCAAACCCTTCCAGGAGATGTTCTCTCAAGTCTCCAAAATACAAATATATCCAGTCTGAGGATGAGAAGCTGGAATGTAAATAAAGTAATTGGGAAAACTTTTCAAGATCTATCACGTCTACACACATTAGATCTAAGTATGAATAAAATACATTCTTTCGAAATGGAGGGACTCTCAGAAATTAGACTGTTAAACCTGACTTGGAACAAGATCACTTCATTACCGAAAATGTGTGATAATCAAAGCAGAACACTGGTACCAAACTTGAATAAACTGTATCTTGCAATAAATCATCTTCTTGATTCACAAGAATTCCAAAAACAGGGTCATTGTTTACCACAATTATACTATCTCAATGTATCATTTAATTTGATAGATAGAATAAAATCGAATTCATTTTCAACCATCAAAAAATTAGGAATTTTACGCATAGGAAACATGTTGACGTACGATTTAGTTATAGAAGAGGATGCACTTAATTCTAAAACATTGAAAATGTTGTTTCTTGGAAGCTACAAAAGAGTGTCAAAGGACACTTTCAATCCAAAGACCCTCTTTAAAAGATGCACACAATTAACAAGACTAGAAATGTCAAAATTTGATTTCTCTGAATTTTCCATTGACAATTTCCGTGCAATGATATCACCTCTGAAAAACCTTAAAGAGCTTATTTTACGTCACAATAAATTGAATAATGTTCCTGATACCTCCAATTTTCCTAATCTTACCTTTTTAGATTTAGAGGGAAACCTTATTCGGCATGTGCACGAAGATTCTTTTCAAAACAATTCGCACCTTGAGAAAATAATCTTTAGATTAAACCATCTGACAACAATTCGACAGGACACTTTTACTGAAGGAATATGGAAGAATCCAAAGCTACACATCGATATATCGTATAATCCGTTTGCTTGTGACTGTGATCTTGAATGGTTTATCAACTGGGCATACAAAAAAGGGATAATAGTAAAAAACAATGATTATCAGTGCAATTCTCCTAAGAAATGGAAGGCAACTCGACTTGATATCCACATCAAAAGTCTGAAGACTAGCTGCCATCCAGTGAACAGAGTGTTTATCACAGTTTTAACTATTTTTTCATTTATGTTTATATTTCTTTTTGGTTTAATAATTGCTTGGAAGTTAAGATGGGACATTAAGTATTACATACACAAATGGGCAGATGGAAAACGAAGTAAATATCAAAAACTTAATGATAAGGAATTAAAAGAATACGACGGATTTGTGGCATACAACTCACGTGATCGGAAATGGATTATGTCAGAACTTGTCGACGCAATGGAGAAGAAAGAAAACTACAAACTTTGTCTCCATGAGAGAAACTTTTTACCGAGCTGTGCTCACGTTGATAACATACTAGAAAGTATTGAAGCCAGTAGAAAATTCATTTTGGTACTTTCTAACAACTTCATGGAGGATCAGTGGTGCAATTATGAAACCATCATTGCCAATCATAAGTTAGCAGATGGAAATGGGGACAGAGTTTTTCTTATTTTGTTGGGAAAAATTAATTGCAAACATTTTACAATCGCATTGAAGACTTTATTAAAAGCTGTAGAGAATGCAGAATGGACATTAAATGAGAACGGGAAGAAATTGTTTTGGAACAAACTAAAAAGATTCATGAAATAGCCTTGCTTACGGAATTTACTTTAGTGACATTTCTTTTTAGAGCATATATTTATCACTATTATAGAAATGTTTAGAGGTCCTGTTTATGTATCTTCAAATGTTTTGGCCTGTTATCTTTAGCGGCATTAGTGTGCTTCTATTATCAAAATACAGAAAAAATTAGGAAAAGAATTTTAAAGAAACCTTGAAGAATAATATTTTTTTTTTATTGTGGTATGTTATAGTTTTTATTCGTAAATATTTGATGATTAAAATAGATGGTTTAAATTTCTCTATATTTGTTATTTACGTTTTAAAATAAATTGCTCTCATCTTTATTTTGTGTTTTGAATTGATGAATTAAGTTACCTAATCCATATTTGATTAGATTAGTGAAAGTTTTGGTTATTTTTACTGGTCAGTTCTGATTTGACATTAACATTTTTCCTTCAGTTATGCCTTTTCAAATAATCTTGCATTAAAAAAGAAGTCTTTCCAGGGAATACTTAAAATGCTGACTGGTTAATTGGGATTTTTGAGAAATGTTTTTTTTTAGTAATATTTACTTTGGTTCATCGAGGTTATTATGAGGAATACATTAAAAATGTTTCTTGTGGTTCATGAGATTTTTTCCTAGGATTACTTGAGAGGTGTGTTTTATCTTTAAATCTGCATTTACTCTATTTTCATTAATTGGTAGAGTTCAACTTTTTCTCATACTTAAGATGTTGGTCAACCACCCTTTTGGACTTAAGATTTACATAAATCAAATAAAAATGGCAACATAGCAACTATTGGAAATAACTTTAATCTTACATAGATATTTAAATACAAAAGTTAAAAAAAAAACCAAACATGTGTTTAAAAGCAAAAACACGCAAAGGAAAGTTGAATGATACACAAAGAAAATAATGAAATAAGCTTGTCAACAATCAAAAACAATGATACCAGATCAGAGGCGAGTCGTGACTTAGAACTTTGTGATTTCATGTTAAAGAACCCCACAAAAACTATATATGTATCTCAAATATTTGAACAGATTTATGAAACAAAAATGACCCAAAACCTTCATTATTTTCTTTTCAAGAAATTTGGATTAAAAAAAAATTATACACAGCGTACTGTGTATTTGCTTGTCCCTTATGAGATACTTGAGCTGTCACTTACACGACTCTGCATTAAATACTATAATTTCAGTTTCTTAAATTTTCATGAGAGAGATAGAGATGATGTTCTTGTGGGCTGTATAGGGTGAACGGTATGCCTGTGAAGTTATAAACACATGGTAATACATCATGGTAATACAAGCCAATTTTCGCTCTCTCTTCTGTTGTATCAATGATGAAACGGGTTGCCCTTTTTCAGACTTTCTACAGCCGCTTGGTGGGTTTTATTGGAGTTATCCCATACTGTGAAAACAGATTCCTCTTTGGGTGAACAAGGCTCTAATAGCTCAACTCCCTAGATAAGATAATATTTATAATATTTATCTATAGTCGGGTAAGACAACAAGAAACACGTTTTTTCTTGGGTAGCTGGAGATGTATGTTACTACCAAGAGAGGTTATAGTGTAATTACCTTTTAGTCATATCATTAATTTGAGGTCCACATGATAGCTCGCTGTCATTGTCACTCCAAGGTATTTTCGTCCAAATTCAGTTAAGTTTTGCCAATCATAATTTTCTTGTCACAGAAAAAAACCCAATGTTCTTAAAGTGTTTGATATACAAAAATATCTTACGCAATTTTGAAATGTAAATATAAAAAAAACTCTCAGAAAAATCGTGTCACAATCTGACGGATTGCATGGAAAATCGCATCTTTGTTGGCCAACTATAATCTTAGCCAATATATTTCATAAATTCAAGTAAAATATGAAAAAAATGTTGTAATAAAAAGCAGATTAAAGATTAGGGTAAGTCAGGGTAATTTCGACCACCGTTTAATTTCGACCACAGGAACACAACACCACACAAAGATCTACGGAAGTGTTGAGACAAGTTTAAATTATTCGGAATTATAGAAAACTATTCCTCAAATCGTGTGTCCTAGTATAATTATTCATCGCAAATATGGCTTGATCAGAGATATAAATAATATTTTTAACTATCATTTATGTCTCCAGTTTGACGTTCGAAGTCCCCGTCTTCAGTGCGCTTGATTTGATCAAGGAAATGCAAGAGGGACAACTCGTACAACCTCTTTTTAAGTTTAAACTTGTTCAACAGTCTACAGCACGAATTAAATTAAAATTGATTTATTTTTTCTTGGAATATCTTAAAGTTGCAGAATTTTACAAATTTATCTTGGATTTCTCTCAAAATGCACAAGAAACATCCATTTGATTTTGGTCGAAATTACCCCTACTGATTTTAAGGACGCGGGGTAAAATTCGACCACTTATTCTGAAATATGTGTAAGTTGTCTTTAACAGCTGTTTAATGCAATGCAGAGTTAGATCTTCAAAAAAAAAAATTATACTGTATATGTACAATATTTTCTACACATAACCTTTTATGTTAAAAAAAAATGTCAGATTATTAGATTAACATATGCATGCTTAGCTATATATATTTTTCGGGCCGTTCACGAGGGTGCATCACTGATCGAGGTGCGAGAAAACACGGAGTCGGCACTGGCTTTGAATTAACACATGACGAGAGCAATCCAAAAGATTCTAAACCCGTCAAATTAACAACAGAGAGGGTGCAGGCAATATTAATTAAATATTTGTATTAAAAAAAAAATCAGGTTTTTGTAATTTTTTTATTATTACGAATGCGTAAACTTTGACGAATAAGACTGAGGCTATCGAAAACCAACGAACCAGTCGTATTAAGATCGTATCACACAGTCCAGGTAAAAAATCCAAATAGTACCCAAAATATCAGAACAACACACCAAAAGAGCCGCAACAATCTTGAAAAAAAAAAGAAAAGAAGAAAAAATCACTATGATGTTACACGAAATATTGGAATGAAATGATTTGTTTGAGTTTTTTTTTTTATTTTCGGGGGGGGGGGGGGGGGGGGCAGAGGACTTTGCTTCTGTAAATCTTTATTTAATTGACTTGATCGAATTTCTCAGTATCAATCTCTTTTAAGAATTAACAAAACACGTAAAATACGCCGTATATTAACAACGCATTCCAAATGAATGTGTATATGGTAAAAATTAGTGAAGAAAATTAAATATACGCAATTCTAATGCTATGCTCAAACCTTATACATTTATATACAATCTGTTGTGAAAAGACGACATTAAATAAAATCCCTTTTGGGTTGAACAATTTAAAAATCATAACAAAGAAATTATTTGTGAGATCTGAGAAAATTTTATCTATTTGCATAACTATATATCACAATTTTAAATTATAGAGTCGGCGAATTAAAAGCAGAATTTAGAATAAAGAATAAGAATTAAGATGTCTATAAGACAGCATTGAAAAGCTTATGTTACTCAGCCCCTTTCTTTACTGTATGGATACTAGTACTTATCTATTTTAATCTGTTTACTGAGAGAGATAGAGACGGATACACGTATTTTCTAAATAAGGCAGTATAGTTTCTCGGACCATAAATTTTGAATAAAATGCGACAGGTAAAGTTTACTTGCATTGCAAGAGTTATCTTTCTTTTTGATGTTCGTTGTGGTCGAAATTACCCCGAGGCTGGTCGAAATTAACCCGTGCAACATGCTTACTAATTTTTTAGACCAGTTTGATATTTTTTATGCATTTCTAACTCATAAAGCAGAAAAATATGAGGAAAAATCATTCTTTTGTACTTTGAACTTATTTTAAACTAGTACATTTGAAAACAGTCGTGTTTTGTGGATTGAAAGCCACAAATCAGCAAAAGTGGTCGAAATTACCCCACTCTACCCTAGTGCTAATTAAATGAAAAAATGTAATATCTCATTGTCACAAAAAATACAGTGAATTACATTACGAAATTTTATTGCCATGAAACCCTATAACCTGTCATGCTTTTGTTTAAACTATATAATTTTTTGTTTAAAATGTATTGTTTTGTAAGACAAATATACATTTTCTGTCTTCTACAAATGCAAAAAATAAAAAATTCTAGTATATGCTATAGAATTGAAAATTTTCATTTTTTGTTACCTACGTTATCATATCACTCTACCTTAGTACAGCACCTATATGAAGTTCAAATCATTCATTTGAAATTGTCAATGATGTTATTAATTTAATTTATCAAAAATGATCTCAAAAATCTGTAATTCAAAGGGTCAAATAATCATCTTTTTTGTGAATAGCGTTACGGTGATTTTCATTAAATTTGTTCCGAGTAATATTTTATTTATGAACGAAATTTTTTGATAGCGATTAATATTTGATAACTTCTTTAATCCAAATTTTCTTTATCAAAAATTGACATACATAAAACTACCGAAAATTTTCTCTTTTTTTTAGTTATGAAGTTTAGTGGACATTTTTAAATGGCCATTGACACAACTTAACTGCATTTGGGCATTTGCGCTGTATGGATCCTGCAGTGTAATGTCAACGTACGATCCTTCGTTTGTTTGTTATCCTGTACTCATACAAGTAAGCGCCTCGGTCAGGGTTGATCGGGAAATACCAGAGGTGGGAATTACCAGTGGTAAATACCGGTATTTCCCGTCCCGGGAAATACTACAAATTTTCTCTAAACTGGGAAATATTGGGAAATACAAAGTTTTTTATTTCTTTCATTCGTTCAATCTTATACAAAATTCAAAAATAAAATAAACATAGAAACAGATGAAAAATATGGAATATATCTCAAATTGTAATTTAGCATACCAGGTATTCAGAATGTATCATTACTCCAGGTCCCATACCCATAAGCATTCTGAAACATTTCCCTGGCTGTATATAACAGATTCAGAAGTTTTCCAATTCAAACTCCTTTTCAGTTTTGTAAAATTTTTAAGTTTATTAATTATAAATCCAAGAACATAAAAAACCATGTTTTTATCCTTCTATAAACACTGTAGTTATTATCAACAATCA